ATAGCTAATCATTCATTAAAACTTCTATTCATCAGCCCTTCTCTCTTGCCTTTCTCCTTCTCACAACCATGTATCCACCCACCCACCATCCAGCCAGTCATCCGTCAACCATCAATACATTTCCGTCTCTCCATCTTTTCCTTTCATTTATTCCTGCTTCCCCTTCATTCACCTCTAAATTAAGTTGCCCATTCATCCATTTATATATTATCCCTCCCTTTCTTCCCTCTACCCCGTTCTTCCAATTATTTATTATATGCATTCGTGTAATCAGGTGTTGAGCTGGTATCCATTCATCTATACACCCATCGACCCATCCTCCCTCCCTTTCCTTCACACACTATCAATCTATCATCCCATGAAGATACACATTCATAAAAGAACTGTCCATCCATTGATCCGTCTGCACATCCTCCCATTTTTCTTCCTTTCCTTTCTTTGACTGACTCACCCAACTATCCAACCATCCATCTGTTCACTCACCTGTCTTCCTCCTTTTCCTTTCTTTCCACCCAACATCACCCATCCACCTCTTCACCCACCTGCCCTGCATCCATTTATCCATTCCATTCCTGCATGTTTACTCCTCCTCCTTTCACGTCATTTCACCCCCACCCACCGTCCTTTCCTTCCCTTTGCCTTCCTTTTGCTTTTTAGACTGCCCTTCTCAGCCTCCTTTCCTGGATACCTCTTGCTTCCCAGATCTTTCAACGTTGGGATGCTCTGGGGCTCAGTCCCTGGTCTTCTTCATCTCTTGCCTACACTCTCTCCCTTGGTGCTCTCACCCAGCCTCATGGCTCCAAGTAGCATCTTTATGTTCATATGCTCCTCCAATTTGTATCTCTGCCCTAGACCTCATCCCTGAACTCTAGACTCGTAGAAAACCTACCTGCTCAAAATGTCCAGCTCTACGTCTAGAAGACATTTCTAGCTAAAAATGTCAGAAACCCAACTACTGAACCATGCACAAACTTACTCCCCCTGGAGTCTCCTACAGCTCCCTGATTTCAGTAGATCAAATCAAAAAGCCTTGAAGTCATCTCAAATTCCTTTCTTTTTTTCTCACACTCCACATCTGATCCCAGTAAATACTGTCAGCTGTATCTTCAAAATAGATCCAGAAAAGGTCAGTTCCTACCACCTTCACGACCACTGCCCTGATGCAACCCACCCTGACCACTCACCTGGACTGCCAGCCTCTTCTCTGCTTTGTCCAGCCTCTGCCCCTTCCACCTATTCTCTACACAGCATCCAGAATTACCAGTTAGAACACGCCGGAGCCTCTGCCCTTCTTTTTTCTGCTAAAAAGCGCCTACAAAGTCCCACGCAACCTGCTTCTTGCCTATTTCCTCTCTGACCTAAGTCGCACTCCCCTTCCCCTCTGGGTTCTGCTCTCCCCACACTGGCCTCTGGTTATTCCTCAGAACACAGGTGCATCCCCACCTCAGAGCTTCGTGCTCTGAGACGTGCTTTCCCTGCAGATAAACACATGACCGAGTCTGTCACACTCTTCCGGGCTTTACTCAAATGTCCGTGCTCCACGTGTTCCTTCCTGAGCACCCAGCTACAGCCATACCTCCCACGATGCTCTCCGCTCTCTGTCCTCCTCAGCTTTCTTTTTAGCACATTTAATACCCTATACATTTTACTTATTTATTGCGTTTACTTTCCATGTCCTCTCCCTTAAATGTGTCCTTAAATGTGAGCTCCATGAGGACAGGGGACTTTGTTTTTTTCCCTGCTGCATACTTGGGACCTAGAAGAGCAACTACACAGCAGGCACTGAATATTGCTTGACTGGGTTAATGAACCTACTCAGCTGCCCTGCATTGGTCTATACTATAATCTACCCAACAACCCTCCCTCCTCTCCAATTATCTACCCATCCCATTCACCCAGCACACATTCGTATATCCATCTATCCTCCATTCCATCCATTTGACACACTTTTATACGTCCCTATACGCACCTTTCCCACCACCTCAGTGCACATTCACACGTCCATCTTACCCGCCTATCCCAACAATTCAGCATTCATTTCTAAACCCATCCAGCCACCTGTCCTACCCATCCAACACATACTCATGTATCCATCTAGCCACCTGTCCAGGTTATCCAGCGCATATTCATAAATTCATCTACCAGCCTGTCCCGCCCATCCAGTATACCTTCCTGTGACCACCTAGGTACCTGTTCCCATCATGCAATGTAATTTCGTATATCCATCTGTCTACCTGTCCTGCCCACCTGGCATACCTTCATGTGTCCATCTAGCCTGCTCCATCCACTCGGCACCCATTCTCAGGTATTGATCTACTTGCCTGGCCTGCCTGTGGAGCACGTTTCACGTATCCATCTGTGTACCAGTCCTTCGCTTCTGGCAAACACCCGTGTATCCATCCAACCATCCCTTCCATCCAGCATCCACTCCTATGTCCGTATCTCTGTGTGTCCCATGCATCCAGCATGGGACGTTCATATCTCCCTCCTTCTCATCACCCACCTGCCTTCCCATCATCAAATCATCTGTCCAGTTCTCCTCTTCCCTGATCTCCTTTACAACTGAATGGATGGGTTACTCAGCCATCCACTTCCAACATCCATCCCTATCCTTCCTTTCCTCATTCCAATATCCAACAAGGAAGTCATGACCAATTGTTTATTTTTAAATAAATCAGCCTTGTTTCAACATGAGGAAAAAAAATCAATGAATATAATTTACTACTTAATGAATTAGAGAAAAAATATGTTTATCTCATGGGGATTTTTAAAATACAGCAATCTACCTCTAATAATACAATGAACATCATTCTCAGTCGTGAGCTTTACAATTAAGACTGAGAGTAGGCTGCCTGTTACATCATTGCTAGTCAGCGTCGTTCTGAAGCCTTTGCTTCCATTATATAAGAGCTTGCTTTGGACCAGACGCTATGCTAATGCTTTGTGTCCACCAACTCATTAATTCCTTTCAACAGCCCTATGCCGTAGGTACTATTGTTATCTTCCTGTTACAGATGAGAATACTTGCTAAGGTTATGCAGTGATTGGCAAAACTGGGATTCAAATCCAGGCATCTGTACTCTTAACCACTGTGCTACAGAGGCTAAGAATAAAGACCTGAAGGAAGAACTAGAACTGTTATTTACAGGAGATGTGATTCATTACATAGAAAACTTGGTCTGTTATCATAATTAATACGATAGTTTAGCTGGATACAAAATCAATCTGTAGAAGTTGAACTTTTATACACCAGCAAAAATCAGTTAGCAATGTAATCTTAGACATCACTTACAATATGACAACCAAAATAAACAGACTAAGTCTAACAGAAGATGTCATAGCTCTTTCTTCTGGAGAGAATTATGAAATTTTATTTTAATGACGACATCAAATAAGACCTAAATAAGTGGGTGATACATCATGTTCTCACAACGGAAGATAAAACTCAGTGAAGATGTGGGCTCTCTCCAAAATCACTAGAATAAAAGTTCCACAAGGGCATAGACTTTTCTTCTTTTCTCCTTCCCTTCCCTAGTTCCTCAAGGCCAGCTTCTTTTCCTCCCTCTACCTCTCCATTCTGTACAATCTGCCTTAAGTCACCCAATCTTCCACCCCTTCCCCAGTCCCTCCAACTTGTCCCCCAGCTCCACTCCACTCCATCTCCTCCTTCCCTTCCTCAGTCCCTCCATCCACTGCCAGACAGTCACCTCTGTCTTCTTTCTTCTCTCCTCTCCCTCTGTTCCTTCCACCATTCGCCTCGTCCATCCATCCACCCAGCCACACTCCCACCCCATCTGTGTCCCCACCGCGTTAACTACCCATCTATTCTCCCGTCCATCTGCGTAACCCACCCTCCGGGCAGCCAGACATCAGTGTCCTCTATCTGCCCAACCCAGCCCCCTGCCTTTTGTCCACACATCCATCCGTACATCCATTTACCCACCAGTCTGCTGATGCAGAGACTTTCTCTCCCCGCCTCTCTCATCTCTCGGCTTCCTCTTTCTCCTCCTCCTCCCAGGCTTTGCTCTCTGCTTGCAGCATGCTCAGACCTGCTCTTCTCTGGACTCTGTGGAGGGAGAGGGGACTCCTCAGACCTAGCCTGGATGAGACCTAGCCTGGACATGCTCCCCAGGGACACCTCTTCACAGCCAGAGGATCTTGGAAATGGGTCCACCGCCGTCCACCATCTCCCCAGGACTTACTGGGCTCCATCCGCTCCCTTCACTTTAATATCCCGTTGCAGGGACCCCAGGGCTGCCTCCCATCCAAGCACAGTGTGTATTCTCAGGGAATCCCAGTCAATTTTAAATGAGGTGGGACCAATCAGATTAGGACACACGTGTATTGCCCCATCGTCCAATCACGTAACTCTCTGAGACCGGCTTCCTCTTTTATTTTATTTATTTATTTTCCCAGCGTTACTGAGATATAATCAACCTAGAACATTGTATATGCTTAAGGTGTACCACGAAATGATTTCCACAATGGGGTTAGTTAATACTCATCATCTTATATAACTATCTTTTTTTTTTTTTTTGGTGGTAAGAACACCGAAGATGCACTCTCTTAGCAACTTTCAAGTATATAATACAGTATTAATGATCCATTTTATTTTATATAGTTTTAGATTTATAGAAAAGTTGCAAAAAAAAAAAGATACAAAGAATTCCTATATACCCTTCACCCGGACATCCCCATGTTAACAGTGTACCGTATTCACTCTTCTTCTCTCTCTCTCTAAATACATATTATTTATTTTGTAAACTGTTTGAAAGTAAGTTTCCGACCTGATGCCCCATAATCCAGGGCACGTTTCCACCCAGCAGGGACATCGTTGTGCAGCAGCCCCGCACGGTTGTCAGGAATCAGGAATCGGCCACTGACACGGGCTTGGGGCTACAGTCTCAGGGGCCCTCTGCCCTCATGCCCTCTCGCCTGGCGCCTGCCTGTGTCCACCCCCGGCGCCGGCTGCCGGTCTCACCTCCTCCTTCTGGCTTCAGGTTCGGGACAAGAAACTTCTCAACGACCTGAACGGGGCAGTGGAGGACGCCAAGACTGCTCGGCTGTTCAACATCACCAGCTCTGCCCTGGCGGCCTCCTGCATCATCCTCGTCTTCATCTTCCTGCGGTACCCGCTCACCGACTACTGAGGCCCCGACAGGCACCGCCAGCCTGGAGATGAAGCTCTGAGATGGGTTCATTTCGTGGCTGAGGAAAGCCGGATGCCCTGCGGTGGGGGCGGAGCCGGAGCCCCCCTGCAGCTGGGAACCCGGCAGCGAGGCAGGGGGACAGTGAGTTCCGTGCCAGCCCACCCTCTCTGCCTCCCGGCCCTCCTCCTGTTTCGGGGGGGCCCGTGGGTTTCTTCCTGTGCTGCTGCACCTTGGCTTCCAGTGGCTGCCCTCCCTGCCTGCCTGTGCCCCCGCCCAGGCTCCTGGGGCCCCTCAGACCTGACACCCAGCAAGAAGGGCTTTTGTGGGAGCTTCCCAGGATCCGGTGGCCGCCAGCATCTGGGGACTGACTCTCTCCTCCCTGACACCACCTCCTCCAAGCCGTGACCCTGCTCAGAGCTCTTGTATCTGTGAACTTCCAATAAAATACCTGCCCAGCTCTGGCCCAGCCTCCCGTCCCCCACTTGGGCAGGGCTCGGGGTGGAGGGCGTGCGGGGGGCGGGCTGTGGAGGCTTTGGGAAGCCCACTCAATCCCTGCCTGGGGATCCTGGGCCCCGAGTGCTGCATCCAGCTGACTTTTCCAGGGGAAGTTCGCCCCATAATCCAGGTGGTCTCTTCTGTTCACTGTGCATTCCGGGACTGAGGGGGCTTTTGGTGAAGTGTGCTCCTGACACGAGTCCCCACGAGGATCAGGCAGCCTCCTTGGAGAGGAGGGAAGGGGGGCGGGCACCAGGAGGGTGCCCCAGGCGGCTGTGGCGGTGCCCTGGCCAATCCCAGTCTACCTTGGGGACCTGGGACCTGGGCAGCTTCCTCCGTTTCCTCATTCGCGGAGTAGGGGATGTGGCTTTCCCATGTCTCAGAGGCGCCATGAGGTTCACCAGAGGCGAAAACGAGGCATCCGCTGGAGGTTGCTGTTTCAGTATCAAGATCGGTGCAGGCGGCACGTGCGGGGAACCAGGGCAGCGATGCTCCCACAGAGATGGGCTCTGCTCACAGCCCGGCAGGGTGCGTCAGCCTCTGAGAGCAAGTCTGAAGAGTCCTAGGACAGGAGAAGTGCAGGCCCCGTGGGACCTGACGGAGGAGGCCCGATTCAGCCCAGGAGCTGCAGAGAGGGCAGCAGGTGAAGGAACCCCGAGCCAGCCGAGGCCTCACCATGAGGGATGCAGCCGGTCTAGGAAGCAGAGGAGGTTGTGTGCAGGCAGACCTCTTCCATCGCTGGGGCGATGGTTGTGGTCGTGTGGATGTGGGGGCAGGAGTTGGGGGCTCCCCTCGGACCTCCTGGGAGAGAGGGGCCCTCCCCTGGAGTCCTCTGGGAAGGCAAATCTTCGGGATGGGCCGTGGGTCTCTGGAGAGCTGTGGGCCAGCTGGGTTGGGTGGCTGCCCGTCTAATGGCACGAGTGGTGGGCTCAGTGGCCTTCTCACGTGGCGCCCAGCTGCACAGACTACAGAGAGGGAGCCCCGTGCAGGGGGCTGGGAGAGGTGTCCAGGAGGTGGGTGTTGGAACAGGACACAGGCTGCTGTTTGGCTGGGGAGGACGGGAGCAGGCTGAGGGGCTCAGGGACTAGAATCCTGGGGGGTCCACTGCCGGGAGGGATGGGAACTCAAGGCGGGGGGCGGGTCACAGGAGCAGCGGTTCTGGGTGTTATGACCACTGGGCCTGGAGAAGTGTTTCCCAGGTGAGAATATCAAGAACCTGGGTGTTGGCTGCACGCCCGTGGATATGGCCCAGGGCTCAGAGTGGAGACTCGAGCTGGGTCAGGAAGCTTCAAGCAAAGCGGGTGCAGCCTGGGTGGATGGGGGCAGAGATGGGGTGAGTGAGTGGGACTCACGAACTCCCCCCAGGACGGGGGAGAAGGCAGACACCCGGTGCTGCTGACCCCTGACCCCGGGCAGCGGTGGATTGGGGTAGAAGGGGCAGTCAGGGGCCCTGCAAGGTCGTAGGGAGTTGAATCGCGGCCACCCCTTGGAAGGGAGCAGCCAGCCTTCCAGGTGGCCTCCATGGAGGGCTGGAGCCGGGAGGGCAGTTGGCAGTGGAGCTGAGCAACCGGACACCGTGACAGACCACTGCATCTCAGTCATGGGCACTCTCAACACTTCGGCAGTCAGGCCCAGGTAGGCGCCCACCACAGCCCGTGGGTCCCTGGAGGAGCCGGGAATGGGACGAGGAGTGATGGGAGGGGCTGCGGCCGGTCGCGGGAGAGAGTCCCCGCCCCGCACCCCGACAGGCTCCCCAGGCACCTGGGTTCACGGGAGCCGCTGTTCGTGAGGTCAGCCTGGGCCACCCTGGCGTCCTAGCGCTTTCTGGTGCCTGGAGGGGGTGCTGAAAGTGGAGGGGAAATGTTTCCTTTGCTCATCCTCCCTCCACCTTTGATGCCCGCGGCTGGCTGGCTGCCGGGGACGGCTCCCAGGAGGAAGGGCATCCACACTGTCTGCCTCCGCCAGCTTCTCCCTGGCGGTGCCCGTGCAGCGGAGGCGTCGGGCTCCTGTTGGAGAAACGGCACAGTCGCCCTGCAGCCAGCAAAGGCGCCCTCGGCTCACGGATGCTCGTATCCGGTCCTGGGCAGCGTGGGGCACGCGGCCCCCAGAGGTGCCGGCCTCGCACCGTCAGGCTCCGGAGAGGGGCGGGCATCCCCGGCACCACGACCGTGGTGGGTCAGGTGGACCCCTCGCCCTCACAGGCAACAGGCCGCACGGGCTGTGCCTTGGTCTCTGGCTTCCAGGCCTGTGTCTTTGCCTCTCTGGTCTCTTCCCTGACCTTCCTTCCGGCCCCGTGCCCCCTGCGCTCTCCCCTCCCCATTTTTATTTGATTTTCAGTTTGCAGTAAATAATAAATACGTATGAATGAATCGTCCTCGCTCACTCTCTTCCCGTCCCTCCTGGACGTGCCCCCTAGTTTTCTGCATCTTTGGGGGCATCAGGTGACATTCCCTGCTCTCCCCTCTCCCTCGTGCTGCCCTGGCTGGTCTGGCCACTGTCCTTGTGACCCCCCCCAGCCCAGAGTCCAATCTAAAAGGATCGGGACCAAGTAGCTGAATGGGGAGCGGGTCTAAAGGGCGAGACTGGCCGTGTGTGCGTGCATCTGAGTGTGCACATGTGGGCACGTTTGCATGTGTGAGTGTGTGTGTGTGCCTCTGCCTGCAGGCATGTGTGTGCTGGGGTGGGGGGTGCCGCTGTGCAGCCAGCACAGCCCCTTGCCTTGACCACAGCCCCCCCAGAATTCCCCAGGGCCCATCCACTTGCAAAGCCACTGCCCACTCCAGCCTGACTCTGCAGACTTTGGAAACCCACAGAATATTCTTTCTCAGTCGTGTGCTCTCATCTCCCCCGCAGGGGTGCAGAGCTCAGGGTGTCACCCGACTGCTCCCCCTCCCACAGAATAGTGACCACCGGCTCAGATGGGGGCACGAGGGGAGGAGCAGGTCCCTGACTGCCACAAAACCCAAGTCCAGGAGACCTGGTCCTCTGCACGTGACCTGTGGGTGGGAGGACAGCGGGGACATGTATGGGGGGCTTTTCTGAGTCAGAAGAGGCACAGCATCCCCTCCCCCACCCCCTGCCACCTAATGCCACCTGATGAGGCTGGGACCCCTAAGGGGAGTCTCAAGGCTGATTTCCAGGACAGAAAGATGTGCTCCTGAGAGGGCTGCCAGAGGGGCATGGAGAAAAGAAGATGGAATCAGTTAGGCCACAGATGCAAGACCATTGAAGCCCAAATACTGACAAATCCCCACACATCACAGTAGGGGTAGCAAATCAATAAAATAAGAAATGAAAAAGGAAAAGTTATAACCGACACCACAGAAATACAAAAATCATAAGAGACAGCTAAGAGGAAGTATATGCCAATCAAATGGACAACCTGGAAGAAATGGACAAATTCTTAGGTACCATCTCCCAAGACTGAACCAGGAAGAAACAGAAAATATGAACAGACCAATCACAAGCACTGAATGGAATCTGTGATTTCAAAACTCCCAACAAACAAAAGTCCAGGACCTGATAGCTTCACAGGCAAATTCTATCAAACATTTAGAGAAGAGTTAACACCTCTCCTTCTGAAACTACTCCAAAAAATCGCAAAGGAAGTAACATTCCCAAACTCATTCTACAAGGCCACCATCACCCTGATACCAAAACCAGACAAAGAGATCACACAAAAAAAGAGAAAATTACAGGCCAATATCACTGATTAACACAGATACAAAAAAATCCTCAACAAAATATTAGCAAACTGAATTCAACAATAAGTAAAAGGATCATACACAGTAATCAAGTGGGATTTATCCCAGGGATGCAAGGATTTTTCAATATCCTCAAATCAATCATGTGATACACCACATTAACAGAATGAAGGATAAAATCATATGATCACCTCAATAGATGCAGGAAAGGCTTTTGACAAAATTCAACATTCATTTATAATAAAAACTCTCCACAGAGTAGGTATAGAGGGACCATACCTCAACATAATAAAGGTCATATATGACAAGACCATAGCTAACATCATATCCAATGGCGAAAAGCTGAAAGCTTTCCCTCTAAGATCAGGAACAAGACAAGGATGCCCACTCTCACCACTTTTATTCAACATAGTATTGGAAGACTTAGACACAGCAATCAGACAAGAAAAAGAAACTAAAGGAGTCCAAGTTGGAAAGGAAGACGTAAAACTGTCATTGTCTGCAGATGACATGATGCTATACAGAGAAAATCCTAAAGATGCTGCCAGAAAACTGCTAGAGCTTATCAGTGAATTCAGTAGAGTTGCAGGGTACAAAATTAATATACAGAAATCTGTGGCATTTCTATACACTAACAATGAAAGATCAGAAAGAGAAATTAAGGAAATAATTTGCTTTTGTTTCCCTTGCCTAAGGAGACAGATCCAAAAAAATATTGCTGTGATTTATGTCAAAGAATGTTCTGCCTTGAAATTTACTATCATGTCAAAAAGAATAAAATACCTAGGAATAAACCTACCTAAGGAGGTAAAAGACCTGTAATCAGAAAACTGTAAGACACTGAAGACAGAAATTGAAGATGACACAAATAGATGGAAAGATATACCATGCTCATAAATTGTAAGAATTAATACAGTTAAAATGACCATACTACCCAAGGCAGTCTACAGATTCAATACAATGTCATTTTTCACAGAACTAGAACAAATAATTTTAAAATTTGTATGGAAACACAAAAGACTCTGAATAGCCAAAACAATCTTGAGAAAGAACAGAGCTGGAGGAATCACACTCCCTGACTTCAGACTATAGTACAAAGCTATACT